TTCCATTTACGTCTTTATCGTTTCAATATTTTTATTTTTATCAATTACCTAAATCACTCCATTTTTATTTGGAAGAGTAAGGGAAAAAAAAAGAAAAAAATAATAGTCACGCATACATTATTTTTTTTTTAAGTTAAAWTTTTTTTTGAGAAAATACAACTTGTTGTGCTGTGGAACAAGAGGAATCTCATCCGATAGATGGCGACGACACACATGATGAGAGATGTTTTGGACTCACTCCGAACATATTTTACAAATCCACTAGAAAAGGTTATACTCTCTCCTACTAATGGTAAAACTTCCTGCATGGGACAAAAATAAAATGGAATTCTTAAAATTGAAGGTGACCATTTTATATAAATTACGTTTAAAATAATAAATTTTCCTTTCACATGGATGAGGCATGTGAAGGGTTTTAGGAATCACATTCACATGGTTGCAATTTGGAAATTAGCTATGAACAAATTAAAGAAATAAGAGAAAAGTGACAAAATTAAAGAGATCACATATATAGTTGTTGTGTACTAACGATTTGTTTTGTTTGTTTGCAAATTCTTCACTAGTAATGTTGGAGTTTAATGAGAGGACAATACTACCCCTACCCTACTGCCCTACTACCCCTTTAAATTAATTAACTAGCTAAGTTACCTACACCCCCTTTGTGGGGCCACATCATTTTGTTTCACTTAACCTTAATGATCATGTTACAATTTAATTTTTATATATAGAGAGATGATGATGATGTCGTCTCTTTTTAATCATTTTAACTATTTTTTTTCCTTCTAATTACAAACAAACCAAGATTGAGACATCCCCATGAGTGTGTTTATTTCTTGGTTCAAGAGAAATCGAGGTTGGTTTGGATAATGTCATTTTCATGGTCTTGGTTCATGTTTCAATAGTTCCTTTTCGGGTTAATTTTAGGGTTTTCTTAGGAGCATTATACTAAGTTAAAACTGTCCCTTTTAGATTCAAATTTTCTTCTTTTTTTTTCAACAAAAATATATTAGTGTTTCGTAACACTAGTCTTGAGGGACTAGACATTAAACCTCTATAAATTAGAGGTAAAAGTGTGGGCTGCGACTCTTTCAAGACTAAACACAAATATTCCTCCTGAAAATAAGGAAATAAACCATGAATGAAGTAGGCAATCTGTCTTGTAAATATTTTTTCCATAACCCAAGATAATAATGATTGAGATAAGATC